ATTATAAACATTGTTTAGTTCACACGAATGATAATCACATACTGTATGAATTTACAGTACTCCAGATTTACGTATATTTACTAAAAATTTAAGTTTTCTTAGTCTATATATATATATATATATATATATATATATATATATATATATATATATATATATATATATATATATATAATCAATTGGTATTTGTTATAATGGGATGATAATGTTAATCATTTTATATCAACTTTTAAATAATACAAATTTATCAAACATTTAATGAACGTAGATACGATTAGCTATGTAACACTGATTTACTTCAATCTTAAAACTAACTGTTGTCTTCACTTGATCAAAACTAAATTATGAATACCCAACCTATTAGTAGTAATTAGATATTACTTAAGCAACTGAAGTTTTCTGAATAGAAAATAAAAGGAAGCCATTCAGTACTACTAACATTTTAATCTATATATGATATTCCTCTGAGTGACATTCAAGTTCGGTAGGATAACAGACGGAACTGAGGGATTCGCTTGTATCAGGGAAAACTTGAGTATCAACTTGTCTCGAGAATGCAGTTTCTGTGTGTGTGTGAGCTATTCGATTAGCAACCAAAGTATATTGTTAGATGAGTAGAGGTGAAAAGTCGAAAACAGAAAAAAACTACACATAGCATAACACATTCAGGGTCAAATATATAATTTGATTGCAAGATGGTTAGCTAAAATTTTACAACCCATCAGGAATCATATCAACAGTCCCAAATCCCGTGATTCATTTGATTTTGTTGACTCAACTATAAATATCGATGTAAATGGTAGAAAAATGATCTCATTGGATGTCACTTCTCTCTTTACAACTGTTCCACTCACAGAAACTATATATTTGTATATGTCTTTATTTAAAATAACAACTTTGATACTTGTATCTCAAAACATTATCTAAAAGAGCTATTTCTACGATGTCCTCTCAATGTGCTATTCAGATTTATTGATGATTCAAATAGAAAAACCGACGGAGTTGCAATGGGTTCACCACTGAGTCCCCTCTTGGGTGATTGGTTCATGGCCGATCTGGACAATGAGGTACTTCGACCAATAATTAAGAGGTTTCATTTATTTAAGAGATGCGGACAATAATTTCATTATTTGTGAGAAAAATATGAACCTCAATGAAATTTTGAATCGATTCGATAATTGTCATCACTCAATTCATAGTGAAGCCTCTGCTTCAGGAATTTCATTTTCTTGATGTCATGTTGAAAAGAAGATCAGATGATTCTTTGTAGGGACCTACATGTGGAAAACCGACCTTGAATGTCAGCACACATATTTCCATAGTTGGGTCCCATTGAGTAGAAAGAGAAACTCAGTTCACTCTTTACCTTCAAGGATTAGGCAAATATGTTCTCTTGACACAATAGATGACGAACTAGTTAAACTTCAACAGATACTCATCAGAAATGGTTATCTACCTAGATTTTCCGATAGTAACTTAATATCAAGACATTCTGGAATAGTACTGACAGTTCAAAAGAAAACTATATTTATGAATATTGAATTTAAATAAGATGCGGCTGCTGAAATCTTGAATAAACGGACTTCAAAATCCCTGAATAAAACGTTCCATTTAGACAAGCTTTGTATTATTTTCTCAAGCCAGCCTACCATTCACGGATGCATTAAGGATAAACTCCCGCTTTGAGCCACGTCAATGTGCATCCACAAATTTACTTGCTCTTGTGGGGTAGGTTACACTGGCCGCACAAAGCGATCACTTTCCAAAAGCATCTCAGAACGTTACCCAGAGTAGTTTTGAAACGAGATTGTTAAGGTCACCAGTTCGATTTAGGAGCACTTAACTATTTCTGGACACGTCACTCCGAAGGAGTCTTCTTTTAAAGTAATCTACAAAATCAAAGGAACTAGATCAAAAGGAGGTCGAATCAAAAAATTATTCACTGCTAAGGCGTTGGCGATCCATAAATTCAAGCCCGAACTCTATGTGTAAAAACGATACGTCCAACCTCTCATCCTTCCTTGGCCCTAATTCCTTTTTGTAGTATGTTTTGGTCCTGATTTTTTAGTTCATGGTTTGTAATTTTAATTATCATCCTTTGACAATTTTTCATGATTACTATTCAGTTACTATTATGACCTTTATGTTTTCTACTTTTTCTTCATATCTATCAAGGGGACAATTATCTCCCATAATTCTGACCTGTAAATTATTTTCGTCCTTCTATTCTTTTCTAACCCCCAAATTATTACATAATTATTATATCATACAAACAACGAACTTTTGTAAAGACTAATTTGTAAGGATTATGACTTCGATTTTAAGCTCTCACCTTATCTGGACCTTTTCTATATATGATCTTTATTCTGAAAATTTATCTGATTCCACAGGTCAATTATAGCATGCAACTTAATTTTTCAACCTGATTCAATATCACCACTCTGTTTCGGGGGTCATGATGTTTATGTTTAAAAAATATTACTTCAGCAACACACCTATGTAGATAATTATGACTTTCAGTGGTGTTGTGTTTACGGAGATAGGCGTAATTGGGAAGTTTTAATATTGTTCTAGATGATACCATTACTGCTTAGTTCAAATGAAACTCCACGAAGAGTCAAATACTAAACATTCACATTTTATATCAAGTAGGATGTGATTAGGAGATTAAATTACAATCCGGTAAATTACGTGTTCAATTTCAATTTAATGCCATTAACAAGATGCTTTATTTCTCAGCCTCACCTATCCACACATTTCAAAGTTTCCAACCAGATTTCAGTGTGATGGATCTTAAAGCTAATAACTGATAGGTAAGCAGTGCTAACTTAATTTTGTTTCACCAACAACTATCTATCTATTTCTTGTTCTGTGTTTATTTATTTGGTTTTAAATTATTATTATTATGGAATCAATGTTTATCTTACTGATTTATCTAATCAACCTAGCCTTATCACTATTCCTTCTTCATGAAATATAAAACTGATAACATTTAAACAACGGATAAATTCATGACTTCATGTTTTTGTCACCTTAAACCGATCAGTAAGTGATCTTATTACTTCTATCAGAAACCATTAGACTTCATTGAATTTTGAATGATAACATCTTAAAATGATACTCAAAGTAAAGTGAACTGCCAATGTTTTTTATTCTAAATTATTTTTTGGAAATAATATATAACCGTATCGTCAGAATGACACTAGAAAACAAACAAACAAACGAACAACTAACCCACATGAAACAATCATGTGAAAATTCACAAAAATGAGAAGAACGCGCCAACAACAACAATAACATTGATTATAACGACAACAAAAAAGAGGAGGGTAGAATGGCTGATAGAAAGCTTTTTTCATCGTGCACCTAAATTTCGATACATTAACAAGGAAAACAACAGATATAAACAAGAAAGAATATTGTTTCTGTTATTATGTGTTTAAATTAAATATAATTGTTGGTAGTCATAATGATAATAGGGCTGACTGGATATAAGAAACATTTTGTTCGCAAACATATTCGTTTGAATGATGTTTGTAATAAAGTAATTGATAATTGTTTGAACATGTATTTCAAAATGAGTATTTCAATAGAGTGGATCGATAGGTAAACGTACAGAAATTTGAGTCATTTGCTAAGTGAATGACCCACTGGACAATAATAAGGCGCCAAAATGTGGGTAAATTTTTACATGTGGACAAGGGGGGGGGAGAAAATTGAAAAAACAAACAGTCGAATGTTCGATACAACTCATATCATCAAAATGACGTTGTCATATAGTGCATGATTGAAAGTGAATGGTGTGAGCAAACTTGTATTAATTTTTTAAACAAAGTGCAACAATTTACTTCTTAATGAATAGAATTGAAGTACTCAAAATCCCATTCCTACTCCTTAACACAAACTTTTCATCATATGCTGAATGAAACATGTGTGATAAAAAACTAACTCCAATTGACATAGTTGCTCACTATTTATATAAAAACACTGAATACTAAAAGCCCATCAAAATATTCATCCTTGATTGGTGCAATTATAACAAAATTTAAAAATCACCCAAAGAAAAAAAAGAATCAGGAGAACAGGGAAGAACCACTTTCCTGCTCAGAGAGGCAATCCATAAAAGCTACATATGCATGTATATATGCTCGTCTTATCATTTTATAGTCTCTATGGCATCTTTTTTTGAAAAACAGATATTAAGCAGCCAAATACAACATAAAAGAATGAAATAAGTCCATATTCTTGTTTTCACTGTCAACAATGAAAATGATCTGACTGTAATGCGAAGTAAGCAATAAAATGAGAGAAAAAGAGGGAACAATTAATTAGAAGTACCACTTTATATATATATATATATATATATATATATATATATATATATATATATAGAGAGAGAGAGAGAGAGAGAGAGAGATGTTATATTTTACAGAATAATTATTCGTGTAAAGTACGACTAAAATGTAATAAAATAGGTCGAATTTCAATTAACATTACAACCAAATCTTATTTCAATCGATATTCAATAAAATAATCGAATACATATAACATACAGTTCAATAATCTAAATTATCATATCAATTTTTCATCTAATTGATCTTTACCAGTGTTTAAGTCTGTCCGAACATATGTATCTATTTGAGTTGCATGATATTGCTATTGGCATTTTCTGTTGTTTTAATCAGAAATCAACTAGAACAATTGGAACGTTGAATAGAATGAGAAGTGTGGAATGAAAATGTCAATAGAATTTTTAAAAATTTTAATTTTCTGTTACTCTCGCGATTTTTCAAAGAAGAGAAGCGTAAACAATCAGTTTTCATTCAGCATAAATTAAACATGAGTATACTTGTTAATTAGTGAAAAAATATATGTGTAAGGTGGGGATAATTTTTATTTTGTGAAACAATTGGAAAAAAATTTGGTAAAAACAAGATAAACAAGGAAGGATCACTATTCTCAGCAACATCTTCACTACTAATAGTTTGTTTTTCATTCCTTTACAAACGTCCATCTCGATAATTACCATAACCATGAGCTAAAGGTTCCTTCTCTGGCTGTGAAATACCACGAGAATAATTATTATATGGTGATTGAGAAGTGGCTTGTTTTTCACTTGGTGTACGACTTGATGGATTATGTTCAATGACAGCACTGAAAAAGCAAAGTAAAAGGATTAAATTAGTTAAAATTTTCTTATATTGTTATACTGTTCATATTTCCTTCTGATAAACTGTATTTCAGTTTATTTAATAAGCATCGGAAGCGTTTTTTTCTCACACATATCAAAGTGTTTCAGGTAATTAAAACAAGTTTAAAGTAAAAAGGAACTTGACTGGTCAATAATCCGCAAATCAGCGTTACGTAATAGGTACAATTACTTAACGTGAAAATAACATCGAATATCGTAGTAAATATAATACTGTCCTAAGTACTTTGAAGTTTACCCATCCGTTAAACACCATTCTCTAATAACATATCTTTTAACATTCATTGGAGGCTTTATATGACAGTCAGTGGGTTGTAAAATAGTTAAGCATGTCTTGTAATGTCTGTAGCATTTACGCACAAGTGTAGTTACACATTAATAAGTGCATGCTTCTATACTCCGCTTACTGTTTACTTATCTCTTACTGGTTGGTCGAATAGTTTTTGTGATGTATTTGATCAATGAAATCGATCATCTTAAAGCTATATTCGATTAAGTCAATCTAGCTACATGATACCTTTCCCATTTGCAAACTGAGGACAAAGTGAGAGATTACTAAATCATCAAAAAAGTGTCATATTACACAAACAACAGTTTCTAATTTTAATTTAAAGTTTAGCACGAATAAATTTAACTATAAAATCTCGATATCATTGAGTAGATTGATGACAATAAATTATGGAATCGATTGAATGACATGGATCGATAACAACTAAAAACATGCTTCATCCATAATTCGTTTCGATGAACTGCAGGAATATTAAAAGATAACATCTGATTTGAAGTAATGAAGAATACTTATTTATCTGAAATACATCTGAATCCAAAGACGAATATACGTGATTTTATGATAAAAAACACTGACTCGCTCACAACTGCTAACTATCATGAAACTCTATTGCCGACCCCTTTTCAACTTGAATAAAACAAGAACAATGGGCGTAGCAGGATAAGATCCTGACCGAAGCTGTAACCTTGACGCGGCGGTCGGGTTTGCCTATCATGATGACCCAACCGAGCTATATTGGCTGAAACACATGTTCCTGTAGGTTCTACCATGCCAGGCAAGTCGATTGGAGGACGGTAAGACTAAAAGCAGCAACTCAAGGTCCGAAGGTGAAGTCGTACTGCTGACTGTAAAGGGGTGTAACAGCAGTAAAGTGTTTCCCTCGGACAACCAGCGTCTGCAGCGATGCTGCCTTCCCACATGGAGGGCTGGGGTTAGAAAAGGTTGACCCTAAAAGTGTCACACCTCACGTTACCTCACGGATTTCCGTCTCTGGCGGCAAAGCCCTCCGAAGAACAGAGCTAACACATTGAAAACCTTCCACGAAAAAGCCGTGCGCGACCGGCCTCAAGCAGTTGTCCCTTAGGCTCTGCGATCACGCTCCCAGGTCTTTAAGACCAACACTAATCCAATTTCCTTTGCAGGTTCCTCAAGAAATACCCTACCGCGGTGTGGGCAGCCGGGGGTGACACCAGTCCTCATAACCGTAACAGCACACAAGACCAAGTTGGGCACATTCAAATCCTTTCGACACCTCCTTATACCACTCGTATCTCCATGACTAACCCTCCTCACGTCTTTCTATCACCTCGCACCGCTGGGGCAAACGATTGGAGTACGCGCAACGCTATTCCTGGTCTCCTGAAACCATGCTCTAAACTACACGTAGGAGCTTTCAACGTTCGAACACTGTGTCAAATAGGCAGCAGGCATCCTTAGCTAGGACATAAGAATCTCGCGCCATCGATGTGTGCTGCGTCTCCGAAACGCGCATACAGGATCCAAGTAGCGTCATCCACTTGACCTCACCATGCCAAAATAAAGAACCGACTCGATTCACGCTTCGTGTATCTGGAAGCACTTATTCTGCTTCCCGTGGCCCCGCCGGCGTTGGTATGGCATTGAGTCCTAGGGCAGAACTAGCTCTCTCAGAGTGGATCCCAGAAGACAGTCGTTTGTGCGCTGTCCGACTGAACGGAACAGTAAGGATAGGGACACTCGTCGTTGCCTCTTCGTCGTCTCTGTCTATTCTCCCACTGACTGCAGCGCAGATGATGTAAAAGATGAGTTTTACAGAAAGCTCTCCGACCTTCTCCGAAAAGCTCGGCGCTCTGATGTAGTAATAGTGGCCGGTGACTTTAAAGCTCAAGTAGGTAAGCTAAGCGAAAGGAAAGACACCAAGGTGGATCTTATGGTGTCGTGGTTCAAAGAACAGATAATGGCAGCCGTCTGTTACAGCTATGCTCAGATAACCGCCTGTTCCTTGCAAATACTAACTTTAAGCATAAGGAAAAACATCTTTCAACATGGCGACCCCCTAATTCGTCCCAACGTTGGACCCAAATAGATCACATCGCTATCAGCCACCGATGGAGTGGCTCGATAGAAGACTGTTGCTCATTCTGGAGCACATGCTTAGATTCAGATCATGCTCTAGTACGAGCGCGCATTTGCTTGCGTCTTACTGGACGTAGGAAAGACGCTGCAAGTAAACCTCTTAGTGCCCTACTTAATGATAGTCAAGCTAAGAGTATATTTCAGGAACAACTAGGAAAACAGTTAGGCAGCCATGTATGTGATGCCCAACCAGAGGCAGCATCGAATGATATCCGAGAAGCTGTGGAAACAGCAGTGATATCTGCTAGTAAGGTAAACCACAAGGTTAGGGAGAAACACTGGATCTCAGCAGCATCTATCGCACTGATAGATGCTCGGAAACTCATTTCACCTGGCTCTGAACATAATGAAGAGCGGAGTCAGCTTAAGCGCAAACTGAAAAGAAGTCTGCCCAATGATCGTGAACAGTGGTGGGTAGCGAAAGCAAGAGAGATGGAAAAGGCAGCGGCAATAGGTAATAGCAGACAATTGTTCAGACTTGTTAAGGAAACCGGTAATAGGAAACTGACTGTTAGCGAAAGTATCTCAGAAAAAGATGGACATATTATACATTCTCAATCCAGGAGATTAGATCGATGAGCAGAACACTTTAGGGATCAGTTCAACTGGCCTTCAGCCACACTTCGATTTCCCACGATCTCCAGTCAACCTGAATGGCAAGTTAATGTAGGTCCTCCGTCTCTTTACGAAGTTGAAAAAGCCATAGGAAATCTGAAGTGAGGGAGAGCAGCAGGCCCTGACAGGTTTACTCCTGAGATTTTTAAGGACGGTGGTTCAGTATTAGCAGTGAGATTAACCTGGGTCTTAGGTAGAATTTGGGAACTGGACGTAATCCCATCTGACTGGTCTCAATCACTGATTGTGCCAGTTTATAAGAAAGGACAAAAGTACTATGGTGACAATCACAGAGCAATCACTTGGACAAATATAGTGTCTAAAATATTAGCCTCAATAATACTTCGACGCCTAATCAAAGCTCGTGAAGAGCAGATTAGAGAAAATCAGGATGGTTTTCGACCTGCGCGTGGTTGTATAGATCAGATATTCACACTACCTCAGGTTCTAAAACACAGACACACGTTCAGACGCCACACAATGGTAGTATTTCTAGACCTTAAGGCGGCATTCGACTCTGTTGATCGTAAGCTTCTATAGCAGTGCTTGTCATTGAAAGGAGTACCAAAGAAGTACATTAACCTTATAAAGGCTCTCTACTCGAACACAACTGGTCGAGTGAGAGCTTATGGCGAACTGTCATCAGAATTGATTACCTCAAGTGGTGTTCGTCAGGGCTGTCCACTCTCCCCATTCTTGTTCAACTTTGTTGACGTACTTTTAGAGATAACACTCTCCTCATCTAAATTTACAGGGGTTGAACTTCTACCGGGAGGTTCACTTGTTGACTTAGAATATGCTGATGACATAGTTTTATTTGGTGAAGACGCTGACAAAATGCAGAGTCTTCTGACCACTCTAAGCAACAATGCAAGCATGTTCGGGATGCGATTCTCTCCCTCGAAATGCAAAATGTTGCTTCAGGATTGGGTTACATCGACACCCGAACTAGTGATAGGGAGTGAAGTAGTTGAGTGTGTCGACCGCTTCACTTATCTTGGAAGTCTCATCAGCCCTTGTGGTCTGGTGTGTGACGAAATCTCAGCACGGATACAGAAGGCTCGACTAGCTTTTGCCAACTTGCGTCATTTATGGCGTAGGCGAGATATCCGTCTATCAACCAAAGGACGTGTTTACTGCGCAGCAGTTCGTTCCGTCCTACTTTATGGCAGTGAAACATGGCCGGTAAGAGTAGAGGATATCCGTAGGTTACTAGTATTTGATCATAGGTGTCTTCGAAATATTGCTCGTATATCATGGGACCATCGAGTAAGTAACGCAGTTGTTAGGAAACGGGTACTAGGTAAGGATGGCAAATCAATTGATGACGTAGTGAAACTTCATCAGTTGAGATGGTGTAGACTACCTGGTTGGGTACCGCGAGATGATAGCAACCGATGGTTAGAGACCCTGAATGACATAGCTCAAAATCATTTGCAATGGCGCAGGTGCAGACACTCTTTATGTTCTCCCAAATTTTGATCTCCTTATTCCTCCTTGTCTCTTTTTTTTCTCTTCCCAAATTTATTTCACTGTCTTATAGTCTTTAAATAACATCTCCAAACACTAATTTTCCCGATTACTGCTTATACTCTTATTACCTCTACCACTACGGGACTTGAATCGGCCACTACATCTGTGTGCTAATGTGGTGTGGCAACTCGAACTTATGTACGTACGTACGAAGTTCTACGTTGTTACTGACTGACTGACTGACTGAGCAGGATAAGATCAAAAATATTATTAACCAGCAACACGTCTATACGTTCACTGACATTCAATATATTAGTAATTACTTTTTCAGTGAAATAAAAATCTTATAAACCACTATTACCTAGCCGAGTTATTTATAAGCACGCTTCACACTGAAGAGAAGCTAGAACAAATGTATATGTTGGTTTTGTGCTAATGATGTACAGAACTCACTTGTGTGTACAAATACATGCAAAGGAGCAAACAAATGCACAGAGCATGAAGTGGTACATACATGTGCAATGTAAATAGAATGACAAACATTCCACAAGTAAATATTAAAAAAAACAATAAAGAAAATGAAATAATCGAATCATAAACACGAAATGTACATAAACTTTTTCTACAGATCATTTAAAAGTATCTTAAATAGTGTGTTGAGGTTAACAGATAAATAACTGACACTCACAGATGTGTTTACAAAATGTATATATGCAATCACTAAGTAAGAATAGCATACCACCTACTCATTGCATTTCCATATATACACGAAGATGCTGCTATTATGACTAAGTATCGTCAGAAAATGAAAAATTAATAAGTGAACATACAACCACATTGGCACATACACACTACCATATGCTCACAAATTATGCACAACTGAAAAACAAATAATGACAAAACAGCAAACTTTTCATATTAACCTATGTACAGAGTAAGAGATTGAAGTTCTGTCTGATGAATTTGGCAAAGAAATATAATTGTGACAATACAAGTCATAATAATTAAAATAAAAAGAAGAGGGACGTAAGATTAAAAAAAATGAACAAATATGCACTAAGCATCTAGTGTACCCCACACAAACACATACACACAAGACGCGCACATAATCAGAAATTGTATGTAAGAATTTAAGTCAGTCAACTTAGTTAATACACAGAATGAGAGGAAAAGAATAAAGTGAAATGCCGACGAGAAAAATTCTGCTTACATTTATTAACCAAAATAATAATAGTTATTTTCTTATATAGATTAAACGTGTAATGAACTGGTTGATAATCAGTACTGGTAGTAATAGTAATTATAATAGTATTGGTATAATTATGTGATTATAATCCAAATAAAAATCTGGCATCAAAGCGCTATATATATATTCACGTCCGCCCTGAAAATATGTAATCCGATGTCTTGATTTTCGTAATCAACTCGAAATTGGACAGTGAACGTTCCAAATGGTACATTACTGTGTACCAAACTGGTAAATTATTAAATGAAAAGTTAACTCCTACTAGGCAAACAAACAAGCTAACTGTCAGATGATATTTTGGATAGTGACTAACAGTGAAATTTACAACATGCATTTCAGCTTGACTGAAGCATATCAATTGAATATACTTCCTCGGTGATGTTTGCACGGGAACTCAATACTTGTTCCTGGTGCTTTAAAAGACAAAGCCATATATTCTATACAGCTGGATCGCAAAAATCATCATTCATTCGATAGGGATGATGTATAATTCAAAAATTCTGATCGCTGATAATCCAGGGTGAATTCCTTACACTAGTTTCCATATTATCGTACGAGTAGGTACTTATTACAGGAAATGTGAATTGTTTCGAGTAAGTAAATTCACTTAGTTCAACCATCCATCATTCGAGTACTACACTAAAGAAACTATTCTACCATTCGAATGGTTTAATTATGCTGATAGAAAAAAATGACAACTTTATCATCAATATCAGTTGTTGTGGTAACTAATAATAGCTCTAAAACTTTGGGAAATTTTTTTCAAATCCCTCGAACATATATCTCTTAAAATACACATAGACAAAAAAACTCACATTGACTTACCAATATGAATTTGTTTTATGTGAAACACCAAGATTTCTCTCTTGTTGTTTTCTACGTTGTGCACGTTTACGTGACGAATAAACAATTAAACTTATAATGATAACAATAATACATGCTATGACAACACAAATTACAATGATCATTTCAGTGGAAATACCACTACTACCAGCAGTGGCCAATTGTTGTTCATTACCATCTGCATTGACTGGTTTCAAATCATGACGACCAGATATTTCACCGAAATCGCCATTTTGTTGTTGATTACTATTGTCTTGTCCAGTTGGTTGATACTGATCGAATACACCGATATTATAGTTTGATGATAAATCTTCCGATGGTATCACTGATTGACTTAATTCTTCTTTACATATATCATCAACTGTTAATTCAGTCAGTTCGCGAGATTTCAAGTGTTCCGGGCATGACAACGAAATTCATAAATTTTAGCTCTAAAAATTTGAAAATAAGGAAGGTTTTGATGTAGCGGGACAAGATTTTAATCAACAGTGAATCAGAAATAGAGGGAGATACGTTAGTAAGTTACAACGTATTCACCGTAAGCACGTTATCAAGCTGCACACATCTGTTCACTGATAAAGTTAGAAGCATACTGAAAGAGTTGGGTAATACGACTCACTGGGCAAGTTGACTTATAAGTTTCGGAATCTTGCACACAAAGTTCTTTCTATACACCGCAAAAAAATTTAAGTGATCTGCACTTGTTTCAAACCCTACTTCATCATTAACATAATCAGACAATAATTCAACTTAGAAAGTTACGTTAATTTCATCGTTAAATGAATCTACAAATGGATTTCTAATAATTTGTGTATTGTAAATAAAGAAGAATGATATGAGAAACACACCACAAATATTTATAAAACCAACTCCTAACAAAGATTTTCTTGACGAATGGATCTGTTTTGTTGACAAAAGTATATCAGTACCACATTTCAACATGGTTCATTCAATAACATCAATGAATGTCTCAACACAGAATCACCTTGGCTAGAACAAAATGACAATGACTTGATCGGACTTATTTTGATTATTCTAGATGTTATACTTTGTTTTTCTGTATTAAGTGAAATTACACTAATTCGATTCGGCTATTTATTTATTCTATTAAGGATTAACTTACACTAACTTGCGAAAAGTACAAAACTAAGTCGTCTACTCACTCAGACATTACAAATATATAATTATAAACGATCCTTCAGTTGCAGATTTCTCTTGTTCTCATTATTTCCAATGTTTATCGGCTAACAATGATTTATGTTAAAGATCAACCTATAATAATTGTTTTGCTTAGCATAGATAAACAGCACAATTAAAAAAAAACTTTTTTTTCGGGATGTAATGTTGCAAATATTTGTTAACTATATGATTTTCGATTCAGTGACGCCTCATTATTCAATATTTTTTCTGGTTTTATTCACTTCTAATAAAAAGTTTATGTAACACACTGAATTAGGTAAAATTCAAAAATAAAGTCTAATGATGAATGTACATTGCTTTAATCTCAAAATTTCGTGATATTTTCTCAAACTTGAAAATCACCTAGAGTAAATTATCCCAAAATGTTTCATAATAGCCTCATAATCGTATAGTCAGATAGTTTGTTTTCACTAATCTTAAAAACAAAAATGGATCCTCATCCTTTATTGATAAAATTTACGAAATTAATCTTACTGTGTCCAAGAAATACTGTTAAAGAATTGTTTCCTCAGAAGTATATCAGTATGCCGAGAACAAAAGATTCAAATATGGTACTATCGCAGTTCTCCGATGATCATGATATAAATCAGGCACTAATTGATCAGCTTATATTCTTAAAAATTGAGATTAACTCAGAGAAGTCTCTTTTATGGTGTCTGTAGTAATAACCAAAAGTTATGATATACGGATTGGTTCATCGTCTCGAGGGTTAACAGTCTACTAAAACAAAGGTTATTGGATCTATATCAAGATGAATATGTTAGAATTAGTTTTTTCAAAGCATTTAGTTTCAAACGATGTTAGCATACATCTACTAAAAATATTTACTTTGGTAAAAATAGTGAATTACGTAAGTGTGAAATAGAGAGAACTGTCGATTTATTCTAAACCAATGTACCTCTAGACAAAATACATTTGACATGGAACACAATATCAGCTATGGGAACATATATTAACTAATAACATTAAAAAAAACTATCAGTGTAAATTCGCAATATCATGCAATACCATATAAAATGATAACATATACATATATACACTTTTTTACGAAGTAAAACAACTGTCACCCACGATATAACGCTTTGGTCACATTTAAAATCTTCAGGGAACCACTGAATATGTCAAACATTTAGACTTTTAGATCATATAAACTGAACAAGAAAAAACAATGTAAATTAATGATTTCATGGTGGTAAATGTTTCTAAAATTGTAATCCTCTTATTCAACACAATTATAAGGGCTGGCTTCCGAAACTTATGGACAACTGCTTTCCAATATTTTTGAATGCTTCAAAAAACTTTTCTCGCTCCCGATTTATTATGGCTGAATACTTATGCATGTTAAATGCTTCATGCAATCAACCACTCTGATAAATAACTTACAACCCATCTGAAATATAATTACTGCTGAAGTCGACCAAAGCCATCACATTGGTAGGTATACTTTCATCCGTGTATACTCTTCAGAAAAACAACAGTTGAATATATTAGAATTAGCAAATGAAATAAACTACGGAATGGAAAAGATATCATCGAAATGCAACTTATGAAAGTGTTTGTGGATGATGACGAATGACAAGTGACTGCCGTTGCAAAACGTTTCTTTAGATATACAATGAGTGGAGACAATTTCAACGAATTTCAGAATGGTGTCGTGATATTCCATATCTGTGTCGAAAATTCTTCGCAATAATCAAACAAATGATATTGAGTATGTTAATTTTTATATTATTCAACATTGATATTTATTAGTTATCGGTTAGAAGGTAGTTCCCATTATGAATAGCTACCAGACAAAGAACAGTGGACAGTCATCTTGTCCTAATTTCAAACCGTATCGATAATAAGGCAGTAGCAAACTCAAGCTTTTGACTGAGGATTACGCTATATCGCAAATTAACTGAAGGGACAAATATGGACCACTGAATCCTAACTCAATAACTATATAGTATCTCGAAACCCGAAAATTCTGTATAACATCTCTTACTTATCCCTGAATTCAGTTTGTTGAGGAGTCTAGAACTAGACCAAAACAGTGCTTACTGTTTTTTAAACGACTCACTGTTCAATGGGATGTTTATGTTCAACAAGTTATCATAATACACTTATCAAAATCAATTCATGTAATCAAACTGACAAAAATAAATGGAATTGTGATAACAAGGAAAAAGTACAATTTTTCTATCCATTTAATATTATAAAAGTTTTAAAGAACATTAAATAAAATTGAAAATACATTCAGAAAGAAAAACATGTTATGCGAAATAACATACTTATCAATTAGTAGTACTAAAATAGTTTGTTCTTTTTTTAAAGGAATATCCAGATGTGCAGACAATTTACCCAAACGTTGACGATACATAAGAATCTGATCAAATTGTAAATTGAATAAACATATAGAATATGAACGATTGAATTTCTATTCATTGACTCAATAGGGTTATACACACGCCTAGAAATTTGGTATCTTTTTCGAGCTTAATCTTCTAATCATTAGACAGTAAATAATACTAGAAAATTTTAGGCTAGCATGAAAGAAATTTTCCCACTCTTTTTTTCCCTCCGATGACGTTACTTCGTGTTGAGAGTTTATTTTAAATAACGAAAATCATAGAGTATAATTTTGTATATCCTATCATTGAAATATAAATCACGAATGTTATTTTAAGATGAATTTTATTCTTCCTTTATGGTACAAAATTTTATGTTAAAGAGGTAGATAACCTTTTTGGGTATTTCGAAAACAACATTTGTTTCACCTTGATCTTGCCTGGTGCTGCACTGATAACCACGATGCACCGAACAGGCATTTCGTCCTAGTATCGGATTCCTCAATCCTCGATGTCGATTCATACCACCTACAAATTAAGCCCGTATCCATAAAACTCTTTCATTAGTAACATATAAGTTTACTTACTAGTAACCAACTTGGAGATGAATTCCTGAAGTTCTAGTTTGAAGTGATGATCGGTAGAGTTCAGATGGTTTTAGATTTATTAATTATAGAGCAATTATCTATCTTATGGATGAACTAAAATTAAGGAAATTCACCCAGAAATTCATTACTTGTGAGTGTATAATTATTGTTAAATCAGGTGGTTGAACGGATTATTAACTAGTTACAAAACTGCAGCGAAATCAGTTGTCTAATGTTTCTAAAGAGAAACTGGTAGATATGATTCAGTTTCTTAAATCATAAATAAGAATTTGGGACGGATAAATATAGTTATGGTTACCAAGTTAAATAACATTTCCAAATATGTTACACTGAATGTTCAACCGTAATTCATACAGACCACTGATTCATTTTAGAATATATCCAATCTCATCCTCCTTCAGATTCATTGTGCCACTTTGTTAATGTAGCCAAATGACATTAGTTAACATTTATGCATTGTAATCGACAATACAAATCAGTAGGTACTTAAATATACAAATTATTCACCAATCTACTATACGGTAAGCATTATCATCTTTGAGAACAAATGCTTTTTATAAAATTCATCTTATTTGCTAAATAAAATCTTACCAAAAATATTTACTAGCTATAAAAGGGCACTGACTAGTTACTTTTCTGAGCAAAAAGTCACTACTGTTCTTATTGAATATTATAAGTTTGAGTTGAGATTTCATCAACTAGTCAGATTTTAATAAATCTACTTGGCTAGTCTTCAATAAAATTAAATGTGGATTTTAAAATTTATCTCTATCTCCAACTATAACACAAAATAACATCAGAAGATTACTATCCTTTTAAAAAGTATTCAGTGTGAACGGTTCACACTATAATATGTTGTTAATACTAATAATAACAGTTGTAATAGTGTAGTGAACGAGAATATAAGTGGGGACAATCGAATGTATTCGAACAGAAATTTACAGAATGACAGTGAAATCTGAGAACCATACAGTAAATACTTCATTTGCAAAATGTCGAGCAATTGTCTCAGGCTTCACTGTTCCTTCATCTCCACAGCAATCATCCTTTGTTCTTGTTCTCTTTTCTTTGATCTTCTTAACCTTCTGCGCCAGACATTTCACTTTCCATTAATGGTACGTACTACTAATATCTGTCGGTATCAGTAGCAAACACCACAATGGCAATAATGATAGTCACAACGATTGATGACACAGATTTGTATATATATATATGTCGATGTACTTACTCTAGTGTCACTTTTCATTGGTCGAAATCAAAATACTGAAGTGGTTGGAAAGGTGTGCATTACTA